TCCTTAGTAGAATGTCACAAACATTTTACCTGGGAACTGCTCAGGACCAGCAAAGTGATTTGGTTTGATCTGAGCTGATTTCTTTTTTATTTTTTTAAATATACTTTATTGATTTTTTACAGAGAGGAAAGAAGAGAGATAGAGAGGCAGAAACATCGATGAGAGAGAAACATCGATCAGCTGCCTCCTGCACATCTCCTACTGGGGATATGCCTGCAACCCAGGTACATGCCCTTGACCGGAATCGAACCTGGGGCCTTTCAGTCCGCAGGCCGACGCTCTATCCACTGAGCCAAACCGGTTTCAGCTGATCTGAACTGATTTAACCAAAGTTGCTATGTACATGGGGATTTTCCCTACTTTCAAAGACAGTAGGAATCAGTAAATTTTTTTAAAAATTTATTTGAAAGAGGGGTGTGTGTGTGAGAGAGACAGAGATAAATTTGTTGTTCTATTTATTTATGCACTAGAGGCCTGGTGCACAAAATTCGTGCAAGATTAGGCCTTTGCAGCTGAGGGCAGCTGCCTGGATCTGTCCCTTGCAGCTGTGGGCCGGCTTGGTCCGGAAGGACGTCTGGAAGGACATCCGGTCTAATTAGCATATTAACCTTTTATTATATAGGATTCTTTTATGTGTCCTGACTGGGGATCAAACCTGCAACCCTGGCTCAGTTACTGATTCCTGTCCTGGCTGGGTAGCTCAGTTGGTGAGAGGAGAGATCACGATGTTGACACACATTAGCCACCTTGGCACAAACACATGGTGGTGTGGCAAAACTAAAAATCATTTTAATTCCTTTCCTCCCTCTCCATTTTAAGCATAGACCTGACTCCCTTAAGCCCAGAGATCTCTTGGGACATGACCCCAAAAAGCATGTTCGACTGTGGATCTACAAATCTGCCATTTCCTTTCATTGCCTGAAAGTGAGGATGGGTTTGTGAAAAGTTGCTAAACAACATGCTTAATGTGAAATGCCAGCCCTCACTCTAAACCAGCCGTGGGCAAACTACGGCCCGCGGGCCAGATTCGGCCCGTTTGAAATGAATACCAGATCCAGCCCGTTTGAAATGAATAAAATTATTGAAATAAAAGACCATACCCTTTTATGTAATGATGTTTACCGGTACTTTGAATTTATATTAGTTCACACAAACACTCCATCCATGCTTTTGTTCCGGCCCTCCGGTCCAGTTTAAGAACCCATTATGGTCCTCCAGTCAAAAAGTTTGCCCACCCCTGCAAACTCTCCTTGTTCTGAGCATCAGATGAAAACTTCATTGGGTCTTATAGCGGCTTTCTGATTTTGGTAGTCCATTGAGGAGGGGAGTTTGAAAGTTGTTGTACACTGTGAAGGATTGTCTACCCATGTCCTGCCTTGAAATACCATGTTTATTTATGAAAAGCATCTTTAATAAAGCTGGATACAGGTTGGCTTGGGGGGTGGAGAGGAATGTGGGGGAGACAGAGTCTGGACTTGACATTGCCAAGACCTCGGCACACAGAGGACAGTGCGCGCGTCCATGCGTCCACTGCTGCCCAGCCTGCCCGGCAAAGGCGCAGGTTGGTGGCGGACACTACAGCAGGCGCCTCCACGAGCCTCCAGCCTCCCCGGCACTTTGCATAGGGAGAAACTGCCCAGGTCTGGCAGCAGCTCGCCCTGCCGGAAAGAAGCCGCAAATCCGTGCAGCCTCCGACCGCAAGGGCCCTTCCACTGACCTTGTTTCAGAACCTTCTTCCGGGCCTCCTTGTCGGTCACCAGGGGTGCGGGGGGCCGTGTGACGTCCTCGGAGAAAGGGTTCGGAGAGCTGCCTGAGTAAACTTGGCGGAGGACGGCCAGCAGCAGCAGCAGCGCGGCCAGCAGCACCAGGGTGAGCCACATGGCGCCTGTCCGAGGGCTGGTTCGCGCCGCCGGC